AACAACGGGTTAAAGAAAGAAGGAAAAAAAAAAAAAAAAAAAAAGGCCCCGTGAAAGATAATGGACGTTATCCCCCGGGAGCCCCCCGGGTCGAGCACTCCGGTTACAAAATCCAAACCCCCGCCCCCGTCCGTCCCGAGCTGCTTGTCCTCCGGGCCCTGCGTCTCTCCGACGCTGTTTCAAAGTGGTGGGGAAAAATATTAATTGGGCCTGAGAACAACCTAATTTCGGCAGTGAAAGCCACACTCCGGTGCCTTCAGCCCCAACGGGGCCGCGCATTGTGCACGACTCACCCTCGCTACGGAGGCAGCGAGGGGCAAAACTGGCCCAGAAGAGAACGGGGGTGGGGTGGGGGGGGGAGAGAAAAAAATAAAAAGACAAAAAAAGGCGGGGGGGTGGGGAGACAAAAAAAGTGAATTATAAAGAAACTAAGAGCCCGACACGAGCGACACGGAGGCATGAGCCGTCATTAACCGAGCGCGGGGAGTTACCTGGGTCCTGCTGATGGCCTGCCCGGTGTTCCCGGGGCTCATCGCCGGGTGGTTCCTTTGTTGTGCCGCTGCCCAGGCCGGGTTCGCCGCTCCGTACTGGGCTCCCATGTCCTTGCCCATGCCCATGCCCGCCGCTGCCTGCTGGCTTCCCGGGGCGGCCGCCGCTGCCTGGGGCTGGGGCTGCGGCGGGGCGCTGGGGCTGCTGTAGTCGGGGTAGCTGCTGCCGTAGCTCCGCATCATGGGGCTGGGGGACGTGAGCAGCTGGTTGAGGGTAGGGGTGGCCCCGGACGGGTGCTGGTTCTGCCCGGAGAACCGCGCAAAGCCGCCGGCCGCCGCCGCCGCGCCGGCACCAGCCTTACCGAGGCCGGCTCCACCGCCGGGGCCCATCATCATGCCGCCGCCGGGCTGCCTCGGGGAGCTCAGCACCCCGTAGCCCGCCGCGGAGCCCCCGTAGCCGCCGCCGCCTGCCCCGGCGGCCGCCGCCGCCGCCGCCACGGCTCCCGCGCCGCCGCCGCCGCCCGCGCCGCCGCCGCTGGGGCCGCGGCCGTAGCCCGGGTAGTGGTTGTACTGGCTGTTGGGGTACCCTTCGTGGGAGTTCTGCAGGGGGTCCATGCTGTTGGGGGCCGCCGTGGGGTGCATTATCCCCATCCCGGGGCTTTGTTGTCCGCCATGTTGATCAAAGCAAGGCCCGGCGCGGCTCGCCGTAGCGCTGCTGGCAGGGGCAGGGGCAGGGTTGCCATAATAGCTATTGAACTCCGAGACACCCACCGCGGAGGGGCCGCCGCCGCCTCCCCCGCTCCCGCCGCCGCCGCCGAGGCCGCCGCCGCCGCTCCCAGCGCTCGGGGGCGGCTGCTGGGGCTGCTGCTGTCCGCCCAGGGGTCCCAAGCCGGGGTGGTCGTAGCGGCCGCCGATGGGCTCGCCCATCTTGCCGGGCATCTCCTCCTCGTCGGCGCCTTTATTCAGCATTTGCTGCGGCTGCTGGGGGGGCTCGGCCTGAGCGCCCAAAACACTGTCTTTTCCTCCATGTTGCTGCTGCTCCATGTCTGCACTGGGCTGAGCAGCGCCGCCACCGCCACCGCCGTTGTTGTTGCTGCCGCTGCCGCCGCCGCCGCCGCCGAGGCTGCTGTTGTTATTCTGCACGGGATGGTGCTGAGGCGGCGGCTGCTGCGGCGGCGGCGGCGGGAATTGATTTAGCTGCTGCTGTAGTGCATGGTGGTGGTGGTGCGGGTGGTGGGCATGGTGGTGGTGGGCATGGTGATGCGGGTGGTGGGCATGGTGGTGGTGGGGCGGCGCGGCGGGGGGATCGCCTCCGCCGCTCTTCAGCTTGTGGTTGGGGGGCAGCCCCGTCTCCCTAGCCGAGCCCGGGTTGGAGGAGGAGGAGGAGGAGGAGGAAGAAGAAGACGAAGAAGATGAAGATAACTCCGAGGAGCTTCCACCTTCCTTCAGAGCCGGCTCCGAGGAGGAGCCGCCGCCGCCGCCGCTGGCGTTGTTGTTGTTACCGGCGGCAGCGGCGGGAGCCGCGTTATTGGCCATGTTCGGCGGCTCGCTGCGGTGGTGGTGGTGGAGATGGTGATCTAAATTATTCACGCTGCTGCCGCCGGCCGGACTCCCTTCGCCGACCCCCAGCGCGGGGCCCGGCCCGGGAACCCCGGCCCCCCCCGGGCCTCGCTCTGGGCCCAGGCCGCCCGGCAAGCTCGGGGCTTTGCCCTTGCTGTTGTTCGCACTCGCCGGAGCCGCTGCGACTTGCGCGGCCATGATCATCGCAACATTGCGAGTCCGGAGAAATTGGTACTGATAATAGTAACTACCAAAAAAAAAAAAAATTTAAACCCCCAAAATTGAAAAAATAAACGAAACAAAAAAATCGACTCCCACCCTGAAAAATGGGGGGCGAGCAGAGGGGTGGGGGGAAGGAGAAGAGAGGGGCAGAAGGAGAAGCGGCCGGGGCAGGGACTTGACTGAGCCCGGAGTATCCCCTGCGGACCGCTCCGCACGCACCGAGTTACAGCGATTTCCCTCCCCGAGTCCGTGGTTGAGGTTAGAAATGGTAAGAACGCCTTACGGTCCGTGCCCGTTCCCGCTGTGTGATTTCATGTTGAAAGTTTTTTTGTTCAGGTTTAAATGAAACTTTTTTTTTTTTCTCCTCCTTTCCTCCCTAACCCGGATATGGGTAAACACACGTCTGCCGGAGCCGCGCTGGCCCAGCATGGCATGAGCGAGCGAGCGAGCCAGCGCCGGCAGCCATCGCCCCCTCCGCCCCGATCGCTCCCGCACACCCGCAAAACGCGGACTGGACTCCAGGCTGGACTTGCTCGGGCTCCAGCTCCCCTCCCTGCTCTCCCGGCAGCGCGGCGGGATGGGGGGCGCGGCCCCCGCGGGTCCCCCCGCTCCCTGCGGGGTCCCGCCCGTGTGCGCGCCGGGGGTCGCGGCCTGCGCGGAGCACCGAACCCGCGGGGGCTGCTCCGAGCGAGGGGCCCCGACGGGCGCCCCGGGCCGTCGAACGCCGCTGGGGCGGGGCGGGGAGCGGGACTGTCCCCGGTGCTGCGGAGCCGAGGGTGCTGCGGGCGGCGCTGCCCCGCGCGGGCCGGTTCGGCGGGGAGGGAGGCGAGGGGCCGCCATTCGCTCCCGCTGTGCCGGAGCAGATGGAGCGGTCAAACTTTCGGGGGCCGCACGCTGCCCCCCGGGCCCGTGTGCCGAGCTCAGCAAGCTCCTCGTGTTCAGAGGGCAGGGACACGTTTGCTCGCTTGACGGAGAAATCAGACGTGTTTTGGATTTTTTTTCCCCCAGCCACCCGCCCCCTGAAGATTTATATTGTATGTGAAGACGGTTATAAAATTTAACCTAAAATTCTGCAGCGGTAGCATCTTTGCAGTTGTCCACATTGTCCAGCTGTCTCCAAATTCTAACGGTCATTTGCACTGATGATGCTTTTATATATAGGGCCATTTTCAATATGTTCTATGTACTTATTTGCAGTTCAACAGGAGTTGATCAAAGAGCGAGAGACATTTTCGGTCTCATAATTGTCTCCCCAAACAATATAATTTCCAGTATGGACACGACACTCATGAAAACATAGTAACACACACCCCAATATATGTAATCCGAGTAACTCTTGCTCCAAACTGAAAGCTGCTGCTGACCTACATTTTTGAACCAGAACGGTTTGAAGTTTGTTTTTTTTTTTAATAACTATCTTGATACAAGTGATACCCTAGTATAACAAAAGGTAATAGTCACACATTACGTTCAACTAATGAAAGCATTTGGGAGATCAAATACTTGGCTATGAATACAGCAAACTGGGATATTAGCGAATGTTTTCAATACAGCAAGGATCTAAACCACTGTGTTTTGAATTAATACATTTATACGCTCTGTTAAAGGTAAGCACGTTTTCAAGTTTCAAAATGGATAAATAGGAGATTCAATCATAATGGTAGAGAAAAATGCAGCATATCAAGAAAGATGCTGTCACGAGTAGATAGGCTTTTTTGAATTCACTGTGAAAACATTAAAGGAGCAGAAGCTTCATGCTCTAATGTTGAGTTACATGCAAAGATTATTGATAAATGTATGAGCAGTGTGATTCCAGTGTCTATTCATTTTAGTTCTCTCTGAAAAGTCAGAAATATTATGTTTTGCATTATGGAGTTAGTTTTGAAAAGTCTCAGTGCTCATGAAGTACATCTTGCTATTACTTCTGTTTTACAGTTTAGGGGGTTGGTTTTTTTGGTTGGTTGGTTGGTGGTTTTGTGTGGGTTTTTTTGGTATCCTTTGCAAGTGCAAAAATGTTATATGGCTATACATATATAAGCACAGAACGGGAAAAAAGAATGGTGAGTAATTCTAGTGGGGGGAATCAGGTGCATACCCAAGGGTCATTACAGACTGTAACAACAACAAATTGCAATTCTATGCAAACTGCTAGAAAGGGATATATCATCTTTGTAGGAGAGAGAATAACAGAACCGTAAGATGAATTCATGCCAAATCATTCATCAGCTTTTGCCAAGAGAATACTACATCTTTGTTAGTGAGCCTTTTTGACATTATCTCCTGGATTTTCTTCTTTTCTATATTCAAATGCACACTAATTATACACATTAAACCACCTAAGTTGATTTTTAAAGCCTTTCATATGCAAATAAAAATATAGATGTCTCCTTGTGTGTATTTCGTTACATGTGTACTCTAACATAAAATATAAAATCAATTAAACACTTACACTTTGAGACATTTATATCTGAGCAAAAATACATATATCGATGATCTGCTAAGCTGTGCTGATACTGCCTGGGCTGCAGATTGCAATACTTCCTGACACGCTCTGCAACTCTTTTCAATCAGGAAAATAACCCACAAAAGTTTAACACAGATTTACTTTGAAATGTTTTCCCTGGGAAAAGGGAAAAAAAAGGATGAGTCTTTAAACTGAAGAGTTCGTACCACTAACTCCTTTTCCTCCCATTTGTTTCAGCAACTCGGCTACAAGATTGGAACTAAGAGGCTATAAAATTGAGGCCCTCAGCACAATGAAATCAGTCTGCTATAAAAGGCAACACATGCCAGTTTTTCCTCCCCAATGGCAGATGCCACACCCTAAAGCAGACAGAAGGCACTGCAGTCTGTGCAAGGGAAGCACAACACAAAGCAACAACGATGGTTCAATTTTTTTAGATCGCAAATAATGTTGAAATTCCTTTTGCCATCTTTGCTCAGATGATGAGTGGTAGTGTTTGTTAAATTCAAATGCTCCTTTCCAAAAGCTCTCATTGTATGCATGAATTATGAATTTATTCTAATATAATGTAAAAAAGCCCTAATTGCCATGCATATTATCTGCTGCAAAGTGATTGCGTTGATATTTGATATCGCAAATGCGCAGTTTCAACTTTAGTTGTATTTTCATTGTTCCTTCAATTTAATTATTTTCTATAAACCAGTGTTGAAAGAGTAGTTTCTTTCTTTTGATTTTTCCTGATAAATTTTAAACTCTGGTGCTCTAGGATCCCTATTCAAAATAAACAACATCATTTTCTAAACTTACTGTTGGTAATTTGTTTACACCATTGGCTACAACATTTATACAGACCACCTAGGCCACCTGTCTGCAGCCTGACCCCATGAAAGTTACTGCCTTTCCCAGCAGTGCAGCAGCCATCCTTCCCTTTGGCCTTCCAAGTCATACGAAGAGTAACACTGAAGAGACAGATGGAAAACAATCCAATATTGTAACATCTACGAGACGTTATGTTAGAGGTATGGGGAAAAATATTTAAATTTTTTTTGGTAACAATCCAGTCCAAGGTTCAAGGGCCTGTCGGATTTGACACGGGTGAACACAGGAGTCTGAAAAATCTCTGTGTACAAAAGAAAAAGCTTTTCACTGAGATCTTGTTGTGCTTTATGGTTAAATCCACTGTGCAATTTAATGAAACTGTTGTCAAATTCACTGTAATTCTCAATTTCCTTCTTTTAGGTTTGCATTAGATTTAATGAGAAAAAAAGAGAGAAGTACGTGGGCTTTTATTAAATTATCACTTCTATTACTAGTTAAACATCCAATCGAAATCATTCTGAAGTCAGTGAAAATCTTTTAATTTATTTCAATAAGGCATAAATCAGATCACAGGAAAGTAGGCAGCCAGCTCAGAGCTGCTTTAGCCTGGTATCTGGAACTACAGTAATGGAATTTTGCTTTAAAAGATCCCTTATGTGGTCAACATATAAATGTAACACAGCGGTGTTTTCTTTATTATGTAATATTTACATTTCAGTCGCAAATGTAAAAAGTAAACTAGTGTCGTAGATGTCCAGCTGATAAGCCAGGATCTGTTAGGTGTAAAGCCTGTAGGTAAGTGTAAAAAATTTATTTTAGCTGGACAAAATGGACTTTGAAAAAAATGTGGTTTATGCCAGCAGATCATGGCCTAAAACAGAGAGTGACACACTGTAACATTTAATTAAAATCCAATCTTTAGCAGCCACTAATCCTGGGCAATTTAATCAATTTCTTCTGGCAATGTGTAAACAAAAGGACTTCACCATCTCCATCTCAAGAATGTCATACATGATTTTATTATGAAAATGCAATGTGCTAGAGGTAGACCACTTGAATAGACTGTTTAAATGCCATAATTTTACAAATGTGAATCATCCATTGAACTCTATAAGATCACTTGCATCCTTAAAGTTAAGCCCTAATTAAGTGCTTCTGTGGACTGAGGCCTCTGTGAAAAAACAGTTTTTGTGTCTATACTTTGGTGAGATAGGGGCCCAATCAATTTTCTAAATCAAAACAAAATCTTGCATTTGGCAATAATAGGAGGGATTGTTGATTTCAGGGTTCACCCACCACTGAAATCTGAGTCTTTAAACTGAATTACACTAATACTTCTGGATCCTGTGCCTTTGTTTGAGAACAGCATTGCATTTTGGAGACATTTAGGAAAAGGCTGGCCTTCCTTTGAATTAATAATTTATGGTCATGTTTTTTATAAATTAGAAAAGTTAAAACAAGAGTCAGTATAACAGTAATTGTAGAGTTCTCTGCCAAGTTTCTTTCCCATTCTCCTGCCTTTTACAAATCTTTTATTTTCTGATGTGCAAGAGATACATGGGAAAC